CCTTCAATAATTCATCGCTGATAAATCAAAAAGATCAACACTGATTTGGCATCGGAAGATAGATAGCATGAAAGGCAGGAAACACAAAATAATTCTAGACCCGTACACACCATGTGGTAAAAATATATGTTTTGTGCATACCTCAATTAAATGTGACTAGCCAACTTGTACTTGTCGTATTTGACTTCTTGTGTCTAATTTATGCAGAATTACTGCGAGAGTTCTAAATGCCTCCCGACAGCTTCGCAATTTGCCTCTGGGAGGCAGCAACTCGAGTTCAAGTGAAACATGTCGGGTCACACATGGTAATGCCATTATCTCGCTATCACTATGGTCCCGCTGAGCGATTTACCTAAAGAGGTTGCCTTATGTGTTGCACCAGTGAGCTTCGTTTATGAGAGCCGCATTGACTAAATGTACAAGAAATAGGATTGTGTGCTCATGTCTAACTCAAGAAGTGCAGCTTGCTCGACCACAAGCTCTATCATCTCGCAGATTCTTGTCCAAAATATTTTGTCGTGATTTCAGTTTTAAACCAGGGCAATCTTGTCAAGGTAGAACCTCCAGCTACCACAACTTTTTAGGCTAAGAGGTAAGCTTACTTCTTGACCAAATATTGGAAATAGCCCTAGTGTACACGACAGTCCACCACATCCTACGTACATGTGGGCCCCTGCTTGCTAATCAAGCAGTGTCTATGGAAGTTGGCTGACTTGTGAGCTCTCTCGGTTGTGGTAGCACGTAGACTCTCTCCGGGACTCACGGCGTGCATCTGCGGCTGAGATTAACCAGATCTCGGTTTTGCTGTCTGAATTTTGCCATCGCGCTACAATGCTTAAAGCAGCCCCAGCGTTCCAGAAAAAAGAGCATACCCAGCTACAGAGGAAGGTAGGAACATTTTTCTGTCTATATCAAAAATTTACACTTCCGGCTAATTCGCACAAGTGCAATCGTTGTATAGCTGCAGTAAATTTGGTTAGAAAACTTAGTGTGATCGCATTCTTGTTACGATAGTAAAAGTCAATTTCTTGTTACGACCGTGAACGGTCCATTGTAGTGCAGTATCAACTTATGTTCGTAGACTGCAAACAGTGCATGTGTCGATAGTTAATTGCGATTGGCAAAAGCTTTTGGTTCTCGACATTTATTCGTGTGGTATTAGCCTGTCTCTAGCAGCAGCATATTGATGTTTGTCGACACTTTAAGCTATCGCGTCGCGAACTCTAGGCATGACGCTCGATGCCATCGAGATAAACCATTTATATATAGCGTCAGAGTATTGCTAGTCTTATAAGTCATTCATGTGAAATTGTGTAAAACCTGAAGATGTATGCAAGGCGATATTTAGTACAAACTCAAAGAATGAAAGCAAAATACACGAACACTGCAGACTCTCCACGCAAGCGCTTCGGCGAATCTCCGTCACAAGCATCTCACATGCTCTCAATGACCATCTACTTGCGAATAGTCAGTGGTGATATATTCACTCTGATGTCAAGCACATTGGACAGTGGTTGTCAATACGTCGCTGTGTAGCGGGGGTCTCTATTCATTACAGTGGTCACCGAAAAGTCATGTTAACTAAACCTTTGATTGAGGAACAGCTTGGATGTACCCTCACCGATCACACTATTGCCGACAGCTGCGATGTGGATCTTCTTATTCAAACGGTCCACAAAGGCCACAGTTGGTATCACAGAACTCGTTTGTTGGAAGACCACGATAAATCGAACCGTCATATTCTGTCAAAATCAACAGGCTATCCTCTAAAGAGACCGCCGCATGCGGCGAGGCTATTGTCCGTCGACTGGTGCGAATATGTTATATTACCAATACATTGTGCTCACTGAGCAGTACTTCATCTTCTCTAATGTTGCCACCAAAAGAGGTATCGTGTCTGACGTCCTCATCGTGAGGCACCACTATACGCTATGTCAGTATTCGAACAAATTGAAGGATAACGCATAGCGGTGCGGACGTGCAACCGCGCGCATCGACAAGCGCTACTTAATTTTTCGGACTCTTTCTTTACGAAAAGCTTTCAGCAGCCCATCATATTATGCACCTGACCGGTACGCACTACGCTTTGCCTTATCATTTGGTAATGTCACCATAGAACATACGACAATTCATGCTGCGGCGACGCAAATCGCATTTGCCACCACAATAAGTCGACCTAACTTATACTGTACCTGAAAGGTATCAACGGCATTGAATACTGACCAGATTACTATTCCCTGATCGAGATGTGGTGATGACGTCGCTGTGCGGAACGACGCATGATCTGTATTGCTCAGAGCCAAACAGGTGCATCCTTAAGCTGACTGGGGCATACTTCATTGCGAGTTTCCCTTTGTCATAAATTTTGAGACGGAAGCCTTGACCAATCTACAATGATCTTTGTCTTCACGCATTCTACCCGCAAGACTGACCAGACAAGCAACACAGAAATGGGATCTCAGTGTTGTCAACGTCACCCATGTATATTGGCAAATAGCATTTCGAACACAATTACTCGAGCACTACTTACAAGTGTGATACGTGGTGTCCAAAGCTGGCTTCCCATACTCTGTATAACTACGATCAAATATATCATCGGAATAAGCGTTTTGTGTTTTTATGGTAGAAGGACTCGTTTTTTTGCAGCAAAAGACATGTCGCTATCCCTCTATTTAGTTAGAAATAATCATTAACCAGGTCAAAAGCGCTAAATAAATCAGCAGATTATGCGGATCGACAGCACATCCAGAATCCGAATCGCTCAGCTGCATTCGGCGTATTAAAAGCATATACATTTTGACACTCGAGTGTGCAGATCAATTGTCTCTCACCGAATCCTCTTCGTGTTTTGCACGGACGTAAGGATGAATGACGCCACACTGCTTCCTTGGTAAAAGACATTGCATTCTACTTACGACGTATAGTTGCTCTTCAACTTCTCAGGCTAAGACATGGGAGATTGCGGTATCCAGTTGCTTCCACTATCCATGCCTTAACATCAGAGGCAACATCTCATAGTTGTGTTAAACTACCCTGCCAGACATACACTGTGGGGACCACAACTTACAGTTGTTTCTTCCCTTCTCAACAGTGCTACACAATGGAGAACGCGATGAACAAACGACCTCGACTTACAGCGGCTTCTGAGATCCGACCACTCCTTGAGGCATTAACAATAACAGTTTAATCAATTCAAGCATCCTCCTGTCTGACCGGATACCACAGCTTTGAGCCCACGCCAAGGTCATTTTTTTGGGTAGAGGTGGGTACATTACATTGCAAATTTCCACAAAACATATTTTTGGCACCCAGCTTTTCTGAATGAAAGTTGATCCATGGCTCGTGTTGTTTGCCTTGCGCATGCTTGAACTGGCATCGTATCTCAAACATAGATTCAAGACTAAATGACGTTCCAAACAGGTCAAAGTACTCAAACTTTACTTGACTGTTCAGTATAAATAAAAAACTGCTGTCGCAAGATACACAAATGTTGTATACGTGTTTGGCATCTTCAATATATTCACATATTGTCTACCATTTTGGACAAACAGGAATCTAACGTAATTGCACGACGCCCATAAATCTAGCAGGACTTTTCAAGGTTTCAAGAATTTCGGAAAGGTGATGTCAACCGCAAACATGGGCTGTGATCCCCATTTTTAAAGGATTTGTTCCTTGTTGGGCTGGGTATCGTTGATCACAGCCTTCGTAAAGAAACGTCAAAACCAATTGAAAACCATTTTGCTTTCTTAGGCCTATTTGGACCTGACATTTATTTCGGCGAGAGTTAAGGACTCTATTGCAAGTGAACCCGGCCCTTCGTAAATTTAAATCAAAAGCAAAAGGAGCGCGAAAGGCTCAGATACTTTATGCCAACGCAGCTTTAGCATGTGCGATAATCGTAGATCTCCTTGGCAAATCGAATAGTTCATTCTTTTTCCCCAGCATGACTAAGACGGCAGCGGGGCTGCCGTAGGAAGCATAAGTTAAGTCACCGACTTTTCGTTTTATACTTTAAACAAGTAGGAGTTTAGCGGATCGCAATCTGCTTACTCCAAGTCAATTACAACCTTAACCCAAGACTAATAAACTCTTCCGATTAAATTCGAAAACTGACTTTTTTTCTGCGATGAAGCCGCCTAATTTTAAATGTATAGATTTTCCAAAATATGTATAGTAAAATCTAAATACATGTATAACTACTGGCTATTCAGCCCCGTACC